TACATTGGTTAAGCTTAAGTCATAATGCATTGGTTCAGCTTAAGTCATTATACATTGGTTAAGCTTAAGTCATTATACACTGGTTAAGCTAAAGTCATTATACATTGGTTAAGCTTAAGTCATTATACATTGGTTAAGCTTAGTCATTATACATTGGTTAAGTTTAAGTCATTATACATTGATTTGCATTGTATTATAATTCATGAAACAACATGCTTTATAATAAACGATATGTATCTTATCTTTCGTGGAGATAAAAAAGTGCAACATTATGCTATATTTCACGTTATACCTGTGATTTGTATGAGAGTTATCTCCCCTAATCAGTATACCTGTGATTTTTGTAACCATTATGACCACTGACACACTGAATGTTGCTGAACTTGTGAGCTAGAACCTGGGACTGGCAAGCTTTTCCAGTGATACCGTACGACCCTGGGACTCGCTCTTTAGCTGTCACACCGAGCATGGACATTGGCTAGTTGGGTGGTATCATGCAAGGCCAGCTTGGTGTTAAGCGAAGGTTCATTGGTACACAGAGATGTATCATTTCATACATTGTGTCACTGTTGCCATTGTGATGTGACCACACAGTTGTCAAGGTTAAACATTGGTAACAATTCAGGTGTAGAGAAGATTGCTTTTGTAGCTTTCACATCAAAGGCCTGAGTATGTTAACAATGACTTAAACTACTGTTGTGAACAAGAACATATACTAACTTATATCTCTTGAATAACATGGCCAGAGCTGCATTATGAATTAATTGTGGGAATGATGGACCTGACCATGAAGCAAATAGTTTCAATTCATTTTAACTGAATTTTGTAATTCCCTGGTGCAACCATTCCACCATGGTTAAGTCGGATTACACTGACCTGTCCTGCTGAACTCTGATTACTATACTGCTAGCAAATGAGTCAATATTCATATTGGGAACATACAGTACATGTATGCAGAAGTGATTACCCAATTCATGTTACAGGTGAAACTGCCACAATTCTTTGGGTGTTTACTTTATATATGTGACGAATGAACAGGTGGACATACCTAAATTTCAAAGAAATTGTCTTATATGAATATTCCATCTGAAGGACAAGCAACAGATATTTTATATATGACTTTTCATGTATAAGGGAAGTGGCACTTTTGGAAACATTTTTGTTCATAAAATTCTGGAAGAAAATATTTCAAGCTTGGTTAAAATCATTATCTTGGAATAGCTTTGTTTGTTTGTATTTAACGTCCCATTAACAACTAGGGTCATTGAAGGACATGACAGGTTTCGGTGGTGAAGGAAAGACTGAGAGTACCAAGTTTGAAAAAACCCACTGACCTGCGGCCAGTAACTGGCGACCCACGTAGGCTTTGAACCTATGACCCAGTGATAGAGGAGAAGTGATCTTAGACAATCAGATGCCTTCACCCGACTTAGCTACTGCTGCCCCTTACTAGAATAGCAGTTCCGGTTTTCAGGTTTGGTAATTGATGTGTTGGTAAAAATGGCAGATTTTCAAACTTCTGAACTTTTGAACCAAATCGTATTGTCCTTTTCGATGGAAGTGTCTGACAGTACTTTATGAAAATTGTCTTAATTTCAATTAAGTATTTCAATGATAATGACGGACTGCTTTTCTTTGTGTTATTATGAACATATTGTACTACCACGTACATCCTCTGGCTGACTGACAACATCAACACTGGTACACTCAGCAAATCATTGAAAACAAACATAGGTTAATGGTTGCTGTAAGCAGTGTGCTATAACAACCACGATACGTATCACATCTTCTGCTCCCTAAAGCCTTCCCACACGGCATTCTTTTTCCATCCCATGTATGTATATGTACAGACTATGCAGACTTGGATGAAACACTTGAAATGAAATATTATTTTTATCAGATATTTTTTATTTTTTATGCAGTAATTAAAATGTTTGTTTTTCAGTGGTATTAATTTTCTTAATTCTATAAACATTGCATTGGGTTTGTCCTCATTTTAATGGTTTTATTTTGTATCACATCAATTCATAGGATATAGATTAAAATGGAGAGTATGAAGAGTAAATGGTTGGAGTAATGTCGTCCTGGGAGCCACGAATGTGGGGGATGTTGATTCTAACACCGAACTTCCACATCAAGCAATTACTCTTTGTGTGTGTAAATGGATGATCTGTGACATATTGTATTAATCAATGGAATTGTTTATATTACCAAAACCTTTCAATCATTTTTTGTGGTGTATCAATATTTAATCATATCAAATATTTCATATTAAATCTAATGCATTTTAAGTGTTGTATATACCTGTAGTATGCTGTATTCACCTGTAATATGCTGTATTACCTGCAGTATGCTGTATTTACCTGTAGTATGCTGTATTTATCTGCACAGCATTAACCTGTAGAAAGTAGATTATGATGAATTTGTTGTGTGAGGATTGACAAAGATTGAGGTGTCAAAATCATCTTATCTTCTGGTTCTATTTTGCAATATTGTTTATAATTTTTTATGATCAATTAGGGACTGCTGTATGGAAGTGAAGTAGGTTTTTGGATCAGAGTCATGATGTACACTTCATTATTACCTAGTATCACCCTTTTTATAGTGGTTAATGATATCTTCTATTGAGTTTTGGTGTCTCCTCAGGTTCTTCTGTTATCAGCTCACCTGCCCATAGTACAAGTGAGCTTATGCCATGATGCAGCGTCTGCTGATTGTCCATTGTCTGTCCGTCGCCTGTCTGTCCAGTGTCAACATTTTACTTTAAACAACTTCTACTCAGTAACCAAAAGGCCTAGGATAATGCTATTTGGCCAGTAGCATGCTGGGATAAAGGACTACTAAGTTTGTTCAAATGAATGACCTTCATCAATTTTCAAGGTCACAGGGGACAAATATGTTGAAACCTTAAAACAGCTTCTTCTGAATAACCAAGAGGCCTAGGATGATGATATTTGGTCAGTAACATGCTGAGATGAAGGGCTTACAAGTTTGTTCAAATGAATGACCTTCACTTATATTCAAGGTCACAGGGATCAATTGTCTTATAAAACCTTTAAACAACTTCTTCTGAATAACCATAATGCCTGGAATGTTGATATCTGGTCAGTAGCACACTGGGATCAAGGGCTACCAAGTTTGTTAAAGTGAATGAACTTGACTTATATTCAAGGTCACAGGGGTCAAGTTGGTTAAAATCTTAAAACCACTTCTTCTCAATAACCATGAGGCCCAGAATGTTGATATTTAGCCAGTAGCATGCTTGGATGAAGGGCTATCAAGCTTTTTCATTGACCTTGACCCACTTTCAAGGTCACATTTGGTCGGATTTGTATAAACATTTTTATGACCTAATTTCAATAAAAAAAAAAGGATAGTGTGGTGATATTTTGCAATTTGCATCCAAGATGAAGGGCTATAAAATTTGCTCAACATAATGACCCTGTTCGACTTTCAAGGACACAGGGTGAAATGTTTTTAAATCTTTCAACAGGTTCTTTTAAATGACTTCTAATCATAAACACTGATATACTGCCTGTAGCTGTATTTTAGTCCACTTTTAAGGTTACAAGTGTTTGATTTATACCTGGTGATCGATGCAGGCCCATTGGGCCTCTTGTTTAAAAGAGTTCTGGTTGTATGTTTACATTAATCTTGTTTGTTTTAAAGATGTTTGACTGTATCTAGTAACTGTAGAAGTGAGTTTACGTGTACCAAGAATGTTGCTAGGTCAAGTACAGGTCGTTCACTTTGAGTTGTTACATAAAGAGGAAAACGTAGGCTTTTTAATATGCTGAGAATAAGTTAACATACATACTATTATAAAGTGGTTTCTAAAATGAGTTCTAATTGTGTGTTTATATTTAACATGTTGGTAATATATATGTGTGTTTTTTGTAAAGACATTTGACACTGTATCCAGTAGCTATAGACATGTGTACATGTGTACCGACACTGTGGCTAGGGCAAGTTACAAAGAGGAAAATGGAACCCCTACAAAATCGTTTTCTTGCGTAGGTCAAATCTCCTGAGGGGATATTGAAGAGACCAAATCTCATCCCCCAGTACACATATTTCATTAAATAGTTGCATGTATATATAGAACATGTAACATTTAAACTCAACAGGTATTAAAGGGATCTGAACACAGGAAAATAGTTACCGCAACTTGAAGCAAATTTGTTGTAACCTTTCAGCAATAGTTAGATCTGAATGCAATCAGTTCATCAAATTTGATGGAAACTTTCTGGCTTATGTTGAAGCAAATTCTGTGGTGATCACTGAGCAAGACTGTTAAGCAACGTACTGTACAGACTTTGTATGTCAATACATTTCTGCTTGAGATTTCTACAATTATGTTAAATAGCTACAACGTTATTTTTAAGTCACCTTAGCTTTCCGTCCGTCGTCGTGCGTAAACTTTTTACATTTTCGACTTCTCCTCAAGAACCAGGGAATGGAATTTATTCAAACTTTGTCAGAATCCTCCTTGGTAGATGAGGCTACAACATGTTAAAATTGGGATACCTATAACCCCAACCCCAAGGGAAACTTAACCAATATTCCAAAAATCTTCTTCTCCAGACTCAGAGGTACTACAATCAAATTTTGTACATGGACAGAAGGGTTCTTATCCTTTGGTGATATGAAAAGTATTGTATTTCACTTTGTTTGCATGTTGTTTTCCACATTTTGTACATCTCAACAATGAAATTGAGCTACCGGTACCTACAGTATAACTATTAGGCCCTTGGGCCTCTTGTTGTAACATGAAGCATGTGTGAGATGAAAAGATGAAATAACATCCAAATAGTTGTTTAAACATATGTTTATTTTTTTTCCTGTGTTTTTAGTCTGGTTGTGACCAGGTTTGAGTAATGAACCCACACGGTTCACAAATCCCTGGAACTAACCACCTCATCAGTATAATTGTAATTCCTCATCATTTGTGATTGTAATGTTAGTGTTATTATATGTGTGGACATATCTGTATGTTACAGGTTCATGATGGTTCTTATCTGCCTTATCTTCAGTGTCTTATCCACTATTGACCAATACGCTGGCTTCGCTATGGAAACTCTTTACTATATGGTGAGCAACTACATTTATATTGTCCCATGTTGAATTAATACATCATGGAATCACATTTAAAGAAAATGTATAAACTGGTTTGCATTGGTCTTATATACATGTACATGTCATAACACTTTGCTTGTTTATTCAGAAATCCTTGGAGACATGTTCTGTTGTACATATGTATAATGGTGAGGATTATGAGTCTCTCTTTAATCAAACAGGTAAAATGGATGTATTTTTCAACAGGTCACACATTATAAGGATATATTTGGCTAACAACACACAACAGAAACAGTTCTGCATAATTGAAATAATAATCATATAAATCAGAATTAATGTAATACAGTTCTTGATTTATGCAGAGGGACAATGTAATTCAGAAGCTATCTGTTTTAATGATCTTATGAATTTTCCTTGGTTACATATAAGGTTTATTGATTAAATAGAGGTTACACAACGAGTAGTTGTTGAATATGGTATTTATTTCACTCGAGTTTTTTAATTTTCAAAAGTAACAAAAGACAGGAGCTTTAGCGAGTGTCTTCCTGTAACTTTTGAAAATTAACTAATGAGAGTAAAATAAATACCATACTCAACAACCGCTCGTTATGTGATCTGTTTCTACCACAATCTCAGTCGGAAACAGCTAGAGTATTTCCTGATTTGAATAATATACACACACATGTGTTTGTTGACAAGGCTGCAGGCGTAGTGATATGACCAATATGTAAAAAGACATTCATTAATATTCAAAAATGACGTATATTTTTAAAAATTTAATAATTTTAAAAATTAATGTTTCTGCAAACACTTCATGAAAAAACATAATAGCCGAACGACTTTGAATATTGAGAGTATGCAGTATTGCATTGATTAATATAAATTAACCGCGGACAATATGCGCGTAAGCATATCATACAAAGTCTGCCTCCCGCCAAGTGATGAAGAGGAACTATATATATAATAATCGCTGTCAATGTCTAAAACCATAGGCCTGGGACGTTTCTTTGGGACGGTTCTATGGTTGACGTTTATAGTGAGAGGTCCAAATAGTGATAACGGGACGTGGGGAGAATGAAATATTTTCCGACACTGTGACTATGCCATTGAAATGATATCAAGCGTTTGTAGCAAATTTGTCTTAATAACCCCCTTTTCCCATCGCATAACGGCACAAAAGTCACCAACATTTACCGAATGTTGACAGCAGATGACATAAAAAAAACAGCAAGCGGCAAAAAGTGCGTGAAAAAGTCGTCCGGTCAAGGTTCATCTTCTCGACCAATCAAAACCACATGTGGTGTATAACTCATATTTATCAAACAGTCTGCATGGTAATTTATACAATGATCTGAGAGTGGAATAACACAGCATATTGTGGTAGAAATTTATTAAATGATTTTGACCTTTTGACCTTGATTGTAAAATTGTATAATATTGTCCTAATGTTTCTTTTTGTTACAGGAAATTGTTTTGGTTTGTTTCTTTGGAGTAGAATACGTTGTGCGGCTTTGGTCAGCGGGATGTCGCAGCAAATACATGGGAATGAAGGGTAGAATTAGATTCGCCAGGAAACCTATATCAATAATAGGTATATATATGTTCGTTCAACCATAACACTTTTCTGGCAGCAACAAACAGATATCGGATACTTCTTACATGTATATTTTTATTAAGAGCATTATGTTTTAATTTGCATCATCATCCATTAATTGAGTTTAGATTTATCTCCCTTGATTTTAATTAGCAGCATGTTTCATCAATTGATCAGTCTAGATCTGGTAACTGCAAGTCTGATAGTTCTTCATGACAATTTTGCAGCTCCTAGTGTGAAACTAAAGAAAATGCATGTGAAATATTTATGATGTATCCCCTTAAAATACAAATCTTACTAATGCTTCTCCAGGCTAATTCTGTCCAGGATGTTATAATTACTATTTTAGAATGCTCACCTTTATTAACTGTTTTAGAATATTCACTTCAGCTTGATTCTGCTTACAATTCTTCTTCATTCTGCACTGGAGGTCTAGCAAATATCAATTAAGCAATTCATATGTTGGTTGATACAAGCATTTTGCATGACAGACTATCAAATTTGTACAACACGGGGGTCAAATTTATAAAAACAGCTTTTTCTGAATCACCAAGAGGCTTAGGATGATGATACTTGACCAATAGCATGCTTGAATGAAGGGCTATCAAGTGTCTTCAAATAAACCCTGATGCATTTTCAATACCACAGGTAAACAATTTGTTGAATCTTTCAAACAATTTCTGCTATATAATTATAAGAGGTCTAGGGTAATATTTTGCCTATGCTTGGATGAAAGGCTATCTCCGTATCAGTTTTGTGAAATAAATGAACATGACCCACATTCAAGGTCACAGGGATCAAATGTGCAACAAGCTCTTAATAACTTCTGATTATCCAATTAGGCATAGAATGATAATATTTGGCTTGCAGCATGGTTTGTTAATTGGCCATTATTTGTTTTCAAATAAATTACCTTTACTCACTTTTAAGGTTGCAGGGGTCAAATTAGATAAAAATCTTTATGAAACCTATTGGGCCTCTTGCTAACTGTGATTGCATGATTCTTTATTCATAAGAAAGTATTATTGAAAACTGAGTATTACAAAACTCTGCAAATTATTGTTCTACAAAAGGTTTATTACTTGCACATCTTCAAGACTTAATTTAAAATCATTTCTACAATACTGGATTATTCATGTGTCCACCAGCCTGTTTTTGTGTCGCCTGCGAAAAGCTGGTGACACATAGGTATTGCTTTGTCGGCGGTGGCGTTGTCCGAACAGAGGTTTTCGTGCGATAACTTGAGTTTCCTTGGGCCGATCAAACTCAAACTTCATGCAGTGCTTCCTTACCAAAAGTGCTTGCTTGGGATTGCTTTTCAGGTTAGAAGGTCAAAGGTCAAGGTCACTGTTACTATAAATAGAAACTTCACTAAAACTGTATACTGGACGGCTTTGATCTACCACTTGACCCACCGTGTATACCTCTGAAATGCCGTCTTACTCCAAATGTTATTGACAACACTAGCTGTTTAACATCATAATCCACAAGTCTATTCATTTATTTATGGGAAACCATCCGACAAATCATACAAATTAAACTTGGAATTGAGACAATGAGTATCCATAGCAAGTTCCTTAAAACTCNTTAAAACATCGGTAGACCTGAGTTTTTTTGTTACTAACGTGTACAAATAACAACCAATCTCCAAAAGTAAGCAACAATATCTAATTTGGCTGCCATGTTAAAGAACATGGCTTTTCAATTATTCTTCAAATAAAATGTGTATCATTTTGAATCATATTCAGACTTCATTAAATGGTTGAGAATCTTGAAAAATTGATTTGAGTACCAAAATCATTAAAAGAATTGAGTTTGTAGTTTGACATTGATATATGACAGACTTAAATTTGATTTCAGTGTTGACCGAAATCTTTTGATAGGATGCAAAACTATTTTTAAAAATCATGTCAAACAAAAATTATTGCATGCACTTCTGTAATCATAATTATTGGTTTTGGAGGTATTTCCCTTTACAGATCTAATCAAACTTGTACTTAAACTTAATTGCCAAGGAAATTAACAACCAGAGATATCAGAGAATGCTATTGCCAATGTTAAACCATTGACAGAGATTTGGTAGACATTTTATGCTTAAAACTGGTATTTCAGTCATAATTTTCACAAACAACCTGTGAGTTATAGCTGATATCAATAAAGAAAACAAGTACTGTTCATTCTAACAGCAATTTAATTACTTACCTGTCAATGTTCTAGTTCATTTGAAGATACAAAGTGCTAAAGTCAAATTGTTAACGGTAATTTTTTAAGTCATCTAGATTCTTCCAACACACATTTGTAAAGTGAGGCCAATATTTGTACACTTCACTGATCATTTCTGTTATGTTTTCTATTTCAGATCTCATAGTGGTAGTAGCTTCAATAGGTGTGTTTAGTGTGGGCTCCGAGGGACAGGTTTTTGCTACCTCGGCTATAAGGTAAACTGATTTTTGTTTTTGTTACATAAGTGTTATTGTAATATTCAGCAGTTCAGCAGGATAAAATTATCGAGGAACATTTCACAATTTCCCAAACCAAATGAGACGGCCAAATGGTAAGGCTAGCTAGACTTACGAAAAAACCCGGAAAAAAACCCGAGAAATCCTATTCAAATTAAGTGTTTTAATGACATACTGGATGAAGTTTCCATCCAACACCTAGTACCATTCCTGTATGAAAAAAACATTACCTGCAGACTCGTCACTAATCTGCTGAATTAAACAGATTTTCAGGTCTTAATCTTTCCACAAAGGGCCAACATAAAGGTATATAAACTTGAGGTTTTTCTTGTGAAACCAATTTCTATTATAAATACTTACCACAGTCATTATAATGCATATTCCAACCTTACTTGGCTCTTTACATACGTAAATAAAGAATTTTTCCCCCCATGGGGAACCCCTGGGAAACCCACCAATCAGACGGCAGTATTCACGCACGTGATTTAAGACACGAAGCCATGCTTCCCACTTCATAATTCCAAAGCCCAAAAAAGTGAGAGCCAAGGAGACAAGGGGAGGCTGGGAGGGAACTCACCTAATGACTGTGGTAAGTATTTATAATAGAAATTGGTTTCACAAGAGAAACCTCAATTCTATTTCAAAATACGTTACCACAGTCATTATAATGCGAATTCGACTTACCGCAGTGGTGTCTCCGTGGAGCGATGAAGGGTTCCAACAATAGGACCCATACCCCCGGAGGAAAAATTCAAAATACCCTTTCCTTTTGTGACACAAAGCCTGATTACGACCAGCGTTCCGGATCACGCGGAGAAGACATAATGAGGCTTATGCAAAAGAAGAGGGAGGACAGACAACGGACTGGGCAGCCACAAGAGGGCCCAAAGAATACAATCCGTCAGACTGTCCCGACAAAGATCGGAGATAGAACTCCGTAAACGTAGAATGACCCCTCCAAACAGCAGCTGTCATGACCTCAGCGTAAGAAGAACCATTAAATAAGGCCCACGAAGTAGCTAAAGCGCGAACCTCATGAGCCCTAACCCCTGACACCCGCAAGGACTGATCCCCTGCCGACTCATACGCAGCTCGAACAGTCTGAACAATCCAGCGTGAGATGGTCGCTGCAGAGATATCAGAGCGACCGGGCTGGAGAGACTGGAACAGCCGAGACGAGTGTCCCGCCCCCCCCTCTGTTCTGGCCAAGTAGTAACGCAAGGCCCGAACTGGGCAGAGCAGGCGATCAGGACAATCCCCATCCAGAGTTGAAGCCAAAGAAGGGATAACCACAAGCCCTGGGGTGAAACCGGGAACCTGGTTCTTAGCTAAAAAGGAGGGATCAGTGGTCACCGAGACCGAAGAATGGCCAGCCGAAAAACGAAGGCAAGAAGAAGATCTGCTGAAAGCATGAATCTCGCTTCTGCGGCGACCGGAAGCAAAGGCTATCAAGAACACAGTCTTGAAAGTAAGAAACTTCCGATCTGTCGACTGGAGGGGCTCGAATGGCGCCCTTAACAAGGAATCTAGCACAAGTGCTAAATTCCACCTAGGGACCAATTGCCGTGAACGAGGCTTCTCAATGTAGAAGCCCCTAATGAGAGCCGACAATGAAGCGTCCGAGCCCACTGACTTGCTACCATAGAAAGCCAGCACACTAGCAATGGCTGAACGATAGCCTGCAATAGTTCCCGGAGACAGACCTTTGTCCCTGAACAGAGACAAAAGAAAGTCAGCTACAACGGGAACAGAGGCAGAGACTGGATCAATCGACCGTCCGACACACCAATCACCGAATGCGGACCATCGAGATTGGTAGACGGCGGAAGACGAAGGTCTAAGTGATCCTGCGATGCGAGTTGCAACTTCTCGAGAAAAGCCCGTCTGAGTGAGCCTTCCCGAGATAGCATCCAACCGTGAAGGTGGAGCCGTTCCGGTCCCGAGTAGAACTGTCGGGACCTCGGTTGAGACAGCAGATCCCACAGGGGTGGGATGCTGCGTGGGAAGTCCACCGACAGCCGAAGCAACAGAGGAAACCAAGGTTGTCGAGGCCAGAGCGGTGCAACCAGCAACACAGTACAAGGGTGTAGAAGGATCTTTTCCAACACCCTGCCCACCAGATTGAAGGGAGGAAACGCATACGCGTACATTCCCGACCAGTCCTGGGATAGAGCATCCACCGCCATGGCCATAGGGTCTGGAACCGGAGACACAAATNAAACTTCTGCACGTAAAGTGCGAAACGAAGCCGAAACCTCTGCTATAAGGTAAACTGATTTTTGTTTTTGTTACATAAGTGTTATTGTAAAATTCAGCAGTTCAGCAGGATAAAATTATCGAGGAACATTTCACAATTTCCCAAACCAAATGAGATGGCCAAATGGTAAGGCTAGCTAGACTTACGAAAAAAACCGGAAAAAAACCTGAGAAATCCTATCCTAGCCTTAGCCCTCGCCCCACCCTTACCCCTCCTACCCGACTTACCTGCACGCGCTCGCGGGCGGGGAGAACCACCAGCAGGAGTCGGCTGCCAGGCACGGCAAATGTCACACGCCTGCTCCAGAGAGGAAGACCGACAGCCAGGACAGTAAGGGTGGGGGTCGGAAGCCTCAAATAAATGACCCCCGGGACAGCGCCTTTGAGAAGGAGGAGTCTCCATCTCAAAGTAAACAAACCGTCAAAACGCGAACACGTGGCCGGAGCCTGGTCGCAAAACGGCGCAAAATAAAGCAAAACGCTAAATTAAAACCAAATTAAAGTTATATAGTATTAAAGGATACAATATGTATGGGTACAAACAACGCCAGTAGCAGTTGGAACCCCGTAGAAACCAAAACACGTCCGTAAACACGCCGGCTGAAGCATACTTATTTTCTGTATTAATTTTCTATAGCTAAAACAATTACGTTCATATTTTCCTTATATATATGGATTTCAACTTTATATTCTTGTATGAAAAATTAAAAGATATAAGTAATTTAGTGATGTAGTAATTAAAGGTGTCATCTTCCTAAGAACAGAAAGATAAAAATAGGTTATTATTGGTAGAATTGTTTTATAAAACTTCGTCTTAAGAGTCAGAAGGCCTCAAAATCATGAAATTAGGAAAGAATCTGGTGCCAGGGGTGGAGAAGTTTAAAGTTACCTCAAATAATTGACCTTGATCTACTACTAGAATTAGGTCAGAGGGGTCAAATATGCTAAAACGTCTAATGGCATTGTTAAAACAGTCCTGAAGTCCTGAGTCACGCTGCTGAAATATAAATCTGATGAAGATCACCCAGTCACATCTTTTCTTAGATATTTCTTTTAGGTCAAAGGTCAACTTTGAGAGCTTGCTGAGATCAAAAGTCAACACAAGCTACTTACTATAAATAACAAATCTTCATCAATCTTCACAAACTTCAAATGTCTAGGGTCATGACCTTTCATCATTTGTTGCCAATGTATTATAGGACTTTAATGTTTCCTCACACAAATTAGCACTCTTTATTTACGTTCAAGGTCTCCAGGGCAAATATGTTTCTAAATAACCATAAGGTCAGTGTACAGCTTTCTGCCTATTCAGTACTCTACTTCTTTTATCCTACCCTCACTTTTTGAAAAAAGACCATAGTTATGATATTACTCATCTCTAACGAACATCAAGCAAAACAGTTTCCCGAAATATATAAGGCTTCCTAACTACTATAGCATCTTGGGGAAATGCATTAAATAAACAACTTCTTAAAATCAGGACGTTCCCAGTTGTAATTGACATTTTGCTGATTGATGTATGACAGCTGTTATATTGTCATGAAAAGACCAAGCTTGATAAACGTGGAACTTGTGGGTCACAGAGGTTTATATACAATAACAATTTAGGTTGGACACTGCAGGCCCTCTGGGACACTTGTTTATCATATTTGCACTGGGTTTTTTAACCTGAATTCACTGGTGGTAATCGTGGAAAGATTCCCATTGTTTTAATACTGTAAAATAAATAACCATGATTCTTGATGAGAATAGTAGGAACCCAGTTACTGCTCTGACCAGTCCATAGGACCTTAATTAAGCATAATACTGTTATCATGATTTTTTTTTCAATTCAACTTGTAATAATTGGGTCCTGTGGTCTTGGAATCGGAAAAATTGTGTCAAAGTAATCCAAATTAGGATTTATGGTTATCATACCAACATTTTTCTTTTAACTAATTGGGGGGGGG